TCATACATAGTCCTGCATCTCTGTCCTGCAGTCCTGCATAGTGTTGCACCTATAACATGCATAGATTATAATCTTGACTGATCATCAACGTAAAACGAAATGTGACATCTACATCTATTTAAAAAATTAAAAAATCATATTTGATGCTGCTGTACAAATATATTTTTGTGTTGTATGTAAACATCTCAATGACTGAATATAGTTTATATACTTTCGTTCTAAAATCCTGTTTGAAACTAAGTACGTTGGCGATGTAGCAGAGCTACAGCGCTATGTTTTTAGTAATAGAAATCAACATACCTCCACTGATCAATACTTCGGGTTGATTCAGTTCACAAGATACAACAGCTTTCCACTATTGTCCAGAATTTAACATTTTATTTCTTCTAAAGTTTGGAATTATTCAACGTTCGAAAATCCAAATTTTATATAGATAAGTCAGTGTGCCAATAGCATCACCGTGATCTTCCATATTGACCTGAGACTGGGACACTAGTAAACCTAAAATAGAGAGAAAAGACTTGAGTACTGTCGGGTATGCTAGAAAAATGCTTTTCTGGCTTCATTTAATAAATACGAGTCTTAGGACTATAAAAAAACATATATCAAAATAACGCAAATTGACCTAATCTAGCCTGTCCTAAATGACACTGTGACTACCCTTAAAATGTACTTTTACAAGTAAAATAATGATAAACTTAGAAAATATTTGTGTGTTGTCATGCATGTATGAAACGGCCTATAATCTGAGGTAATTACCTAACACCTGTCCCGAGGTGATGACCTCACACAGTCCCGTGCATTCTCACAGGTGCAAATGTCACCCGAGTTGGGGGTGGTCTCAAAATATTGCTGTTATTGTACTTAATTGACATGTGCGTTGATTGGGTAGCAATTTAGGATATGTACTGCATTATATTTGCTTGGAAACATGATGGAATAGTTTAAAGCTATGACACAGGATGAGTATTGGGAGGTTGCATGGCATAATTCAAAATTCAAAATTTGTTCTCCAGATTAAGTAAGCAACCCCAAAAGCCCCCCTAAGTTGCCTCACCTTTTCGGACATACCCTTTTCCACCAATCACTAAATGGTCTGGCGGGCCCGGGCGCGAAATACACATGTGTCGGAAAGCGCACGTTAAATTCCCAATTTATGTAAGTAAGGAAGGCTGCAGTTTTGGATTCAAGAAGTATTTGTTGTTCTACAGATGATTTCTTGAGGTAGCATTTATCTCTACTGATGACGTATATGAATCTGTACTTTTAAATGTTGTGTTATGTCTTGCCACGAACCCTTTACACTTAGCCAAGATAGGCACAAGAAGGTTGAGCTCACAATGTCTGACTGGCGTACGTGAGACAAGACAACGTGACAGTGTTGTGCCACCAACACATGTCTTGTACTTTACTGGTTTCTTATTCAGACGAATTTTCTGCATGAGTTGACCTTTAGTTTCAGATGGTCTGACGTCGACAATGTCATATTCCAGTGTGGACGTCTTCAGGCTACTCATGGTTGGGGCGACAGCATCTGATTCCCGGACGTAATATTAACTGGCATTATCCATGACAATGACACTGACGTTGTTTAAAATGTCGAAAATGTTGTTCCTTTTTCGCCTCGAAAACAAGCACAAATCCATCAATAAGCCCCATATCTTGGGTTGCGGCATGCAAAACAATGTCACGATCACCTGATGGTACCATGGGTGCTTATTTCCATCTGCCAACTGCCATTTGTAGTCAGTGGAGTGATTCTTCAAGGTAAATTATCTGGACGCCCTGACTGTGATAGTTATGAATGGTCCGGAGATAATGTGACCTCATAGACAGGATGGAATATTATCCCCTGGAAACTGCTCGGTCATTGCCACGCGCAGTGTATCGAGATCCCATCTCATGGAGAGCAATAGTTAGTGCAGTCTGGGAAACATTAATTGTATCTTTAAATCCTCATGAATTCTACTACAAGTCGGGGGTACCTTCTGCCCATAAAGCTTGTACACTGTACGCCTAATCACCCTGTTTCAAAGCTGTCTAATGTACTTTTACGTCCCGGTTTTGTTTTTGAGACCACCCCTATACTTGTTTTGTTTTCTTATCATACCTTAGACTTTGTGGTATGAATTGATAACCCCGAAGCTTGGGCAGTTCGGTATCTAAATTAATTAATGGTTCCCCTCCGTCTCTCTAAAGTGTAAAGAATGTGTATACATTTCCTAGTACAGACTCCATGTCGTGGACCATGGCAATGGCTATGGCTATGCAAGTGTAATGTAACATGCATCATGGGAGCAGTGTTGACAAAACAAACGCAGCCTCATTTTGTCATTTTGCACATCTAGAATTTTCTACCATTGATTTTTGTGTGTGTATTAAATGTTTTTATGAAGACTTCATTATTATCATTATAACGGAGTCACATGCGCAAATTTCAATAGTCCGTTTCAGACTGACATCATTGGACTTTCTGTTTTCGTTCAAATTTGTCTCCTGTAAACTTGTTGATAGGACTCCTTGTGACTGAAGTACTTCAAACCTTCATTTCAATAACAACAGTTTGTGAAAAATTATATCCATTTAACAGGCAAAAGCAGTTTTCTAGCATTTCTGACAGTAGTTTAAACATAATTCCTGATATTAACCACTGAAAAAGAAAACACCAGCTGCATTCAATATTTACACTTTTTATGTAACCTTTTCTCAAGTTATATCTTAATGTACATTATAAGATGTAGCAGTATCAGGGCTTGATGCTGTTTTATGCGTCCTGCGTTGAGTTTTATATCATGAGCCAAGATATTAATGACTCGCACAGAAGTCCATGTGGTTTTTTTGTGGCGGGATATACAGGATTTATTCTCCCACTCAGAAATTGATTTAGTTTATCAAGATCATGTGAACAAATCAGATTAACATCCTGGTATGCAGTTAAGATAATCGTCATTGTCTAAGCCACCATAACACCCAGCAATCTGTGACACAACCTACAACAAAAATAAATCATGTTCACATTTGGTGTTACTTTTCAGTATTGCTACTTCTAGGCTACACATTTTGACGTTGCTGTTCGGAGGATTCCATGATATTCCGAACTGCCAAAGAAATACGACTGTTTTCATTATGAAAAAATGAAAAGGGTGGTTGTAGTCGGTCAAAACTGACATGAAATACATGCGCAGGCCTAAGAAGTGTAGCATTTGGTCAGTTACCCTATTTCGCATTGAAGGAATGATTTAAATCGAGTGCTCAAATGCACCTTTACTGAAGTCGATTGGATGCATAATGAACTGTTGCTCATGTTGTTTGTTTTGTTTGTTTGTTGTTTAACGCCACACTCAGCAATATTCCAGCTATATGACGCTGGTCTGTAAAATCAAGTACCAGACAATTCAGTGATTTACATCATGAACATCGATCCACGCAATTTGGATCGATGACATGCATCAACCAAGTCAGCGAGCCCATTGGACAAGTATATACACACTCACATATGTATTTGACAGAGCGCCAAAATGTTTGCCTTATGATGTACAATAGTGGACAGTAATACTACTTAGGATAATTAATGACATCTTTAAAATATCTATTGCGTTTCTTAAGTGCTAAGAAAATATATTTCCCTAGACTGTTAAGTAAAGGCGGATTCGAGCTTGAGAATAGAATTTTACGTTTTTGCTGGTTTGGATGGACAGAATAATACTTTGGTAAAATGCTGTCTCTTAAATCTGCATAGAATGGACATTGGAGCCAAACTTCTCCAATACCATACTTATATAACAAGTTTTATAACATCATAAGCTCAGTATTTTTCCCCATTTCGGCATTACTGAACTCGAAGTGGTAGCATACTTAAGAATACTATTTGATTTTTGGCTCAGCAATCGCAACCAATAAGTGATTATTTTCTTATATTGAAAACCTTCACAGAAAATCGACCAACCTCCCCTCTCGCAGCTTTATTCGGGGTTTGACTAATTTACAAAATCTGTCATGAATTATATCAACATCTAGGGATGGGTGCAAACCCCATACCTCAGATCCATATAATAAGATTGGCATGATTTTAATATCAAAGACATGAAGCTGTATTCTTATAGGAAGTTTTTGAAACATAAAGTGGACAGCCAGAAGTGACCGCCCCTTGCTAATACCGACACATTCATCGCCAACATCTACAGAATTGGTTCCGAACTACCACATGGACAGCTGCAAAGTTACCTGTTTTGGAAATATCCAAACATTTGTTACTTGCGTTTCTTTTGCGGATCAGTATATTTATATTCCGTTTGTTTCAGTGCTAATGTCTTGCCTGTATGTATATCAATATCACCTGTGCATTGCTTGAGTTGAGGAGCATATGATCTTTATCCTTTCATTGACAATATGACAAGTGTAAATATTTCCAAGATAATTGGGGAGTGTTGTTCTGGGTGGAATGAACAGCCCAGCATAATTGAATCACATGACAATGGCAACAGTCTTGTGTGAAATGAAGGTCTAGTCTGCAGTATACTGATTGTGGACACCATGTGAAATGTGACAGGGCGATTCACCTTCTGTGTTGATCTGTTCTTCTTTCCAGAGTGGAAGATCTTTTGTTTTGTTGGAAGAAAAGTCTATTTTGTTTCCTATGTTCTGGCTGTTGTACAAGTTCCATATATACAAGCACTTGATAAATTAGCACTGTCAGAAACACAACAATTTTCATGGATGCGGTAAGAAGAAAAAAAGAATTGAGCATTTATTATCATTGGCAGTGAATCAAGTGCTTATGTATTTTGGCCAACTTTTGTTTGTTATCCAGTAAAATGTCAGTTGAATACCAAGATCTGGTTGTTGCATCAGCCCTTTATTCTGTCCTCATTCAAAACAAAGACAATCATATTCTCAAAGCTATCCATTTATGTTACGAAATACAAAACCTAATTAACCATTCACATCGCATCGTACTTTTACTCGTGAGTATGAAAATTAGAGAAAATAGCATGGGCACAAACAACACTCCAACTCCCTACTATTGAGTTTAATAAGCAACCTTGGTTTCAAATTGCCACTTGCTCCTATAAAACAACTGGACAACTAATATGCAATTGACATCCTCCCTTATAAGCTCCAAACACTCTGTCAGTGCAAAGGTATCGTTTCTTCCTTTTCATTTATCAATACTTATTCCTAAAATACATATACATTTTGAAGTGGCAAGTTAATGAATATGGCTGTGGACCATGTGTCTCCTTGCTGAAAAGACTGGAGTCCTGTAAAATGGATAATTTAGATCACAGCCTGTTTGTGAATTTTTACTGTTCATGTTTTGGGCACCCGGTGTTTATGGATATTTCTTCTGGGATCATGTTGATTGATTGATTGTTCGTTGTTTCACTCAACACTCAGCAATATTCCAGCTGTATGACAGCGGTCTGTAAATAATCGAGTCTTGACCAGACAATGCAGTGATTAACATCATGAGCATCGATCCACGCGATTGGAATCGATGACATGCTTCAACCAAGTGAGCGAGCCTGACCACCCCATCCCATTAGTCGCCTCTTACGACAAGCATAGTCGCCTTTTATGATACATGTGGGGCAGTGCGATTTGGTGGGCTGTTGCCGATCTTCTCATTCATTGGAATATTTGGAAATAAGTTGTCCTCGTGTGTAATGCACAAAAATACTTTTTTACAGGACCTTGTGATATCCTGAATAAAAAAACTGTTTAGCTTCTTTCAGAGGAAAATGCATTGAAAAATCTTGAAGCAGTAACAAAATCTCCAAATGACAAATTCAATCATGATAATATTTTGCATTTGAAAGTCTCAATATCGTGTATGCTGCTATCTTAGCTTGTGCACTGTAACAATAACTGCCGCAGTACTAAAGGATTGAAAACTTCTATGAAGCTTACTTGTTAGTTTTGTACTTGGTGAATGTATGTATCCATTCATCAAACTCCTGTCGTTGCCCTGTTGTCCTGCAGGACGGGCCACAACGCCGACCTCATGTCTGGGATTGTAAAACATGGGGGCAGAAAGGCGAGGGAAAGTATAACATGAGGGCCAAGCCCGAGGCTCTGTTCCCGATGGTTTACAATCCAAAGAATAACAGAGGAGACGTATTTTATCTTGTTTATCCTAATAAATATAATATCAAAATAAATGGATAAAATAATTCGAATGGGGAGCAGAAAACATATTGGAGAAACTTGTTCCCCTATACAGAAGTAGACTCGTCTGGCGCCTAGTTAATTTCGCACGTGCAACACAACTTTCTTTTGAAACTCGGGTATTTCTTTCAAACATATATAACTTTTAACTTTCTATTTATAAGAAAGTCATTTATGTCATTACCCTTTCTGTGATAGTAATACATGGTTTTTTTTATGATGTTGCTTTAGTTGATACAACAAATAAGAACTGCAGTGTGTGTGTGTGTGTTATCAGCACGAGTTGAGGTGAGATGAAATGGTTCAATGTCGAGTGTGTGCTTGTACTTTAGAGTGCGAACCCACCGAGATACCATGCCGCAGTTTAACACGGACACCTCACTCAGACACAGTATACTGACTCCGACCCTAGAAGTCCTTGTTCTGTGATGTCTTGGTATGACGCGGGCAGGGGATTGGCCGAACACACGACATAACTGAGGCGGCTTTGGTACGAACAGACCGCATTATTTTCAATAAAGCGTTCGAATTTGTGAGCACTGAAATCGCCACATCTCCCAGTATATTATAATTTAACAAGTAAAAGAAAAGAAAAAGATCTGGGTCTTTGGATGGGAAAGCAATGTTATTTTTTGATTGGTTAAAAGTCACAATTCATGACATGAATCGAACCTGCAACCTCACATTATTATCGTGTTTAGTTTCCTAACTGAGCCACCAGGGTAGATTATGAAAGGGTGTTTAATCCTACATATCATGACTTGAGTTGTGTGCATGCTGCTTGAGGCCTTTCTCTCGTACGTTTTCATCCGAATTCCTTTTATACCGCGACGCACTGTATTGTTTCACTATGAGATATTCCGATGTGTTCTTATTTTGTCTGGCATTTCTTGCATTTATACGGTTTATAAGTTGGACAAAAAACCTCCACCCCGGTCTTGACTTAGAATGTTGGCCCTGGGTATCGGTCCTCCATAATAATCCTCTGCTTTGGGCTTACTTCTCAGTCAAGAGTCGGTTTTTAAGTGCGAGACGAGGGAGATTCGAGGCCTTACGTCTACGACTTGACTTGCGACTTATCCACTGGCCCAGTGCCGTCGGGATATCGGAAAACATCGACTTTTCTGCCGGTTTCGAATACTGATTCCCTGATTCCAGAACGGTGCCTGATTCCAGCCATTCAGCTGTGACAAATACTGGATATTTGTGAGCCCACTGACTTTTGTGATGGGCCCATTATTTATTGCTGTTGCTACATATATGTAAGCCATTGTATTGCCTGATATGATTGTTAACTAATCCGGTGTATTTCAATATGATGTGTTGATTGTTCATTGACCTTGTGTGATTTATTTACTGATTTCACAATGTACGGATTTCTGGTGTGACCTTTCGCTTTTCAATTTGAGAATCATCAGGTCATAATACATATCTGATATACATGTAGTTTGCTTTTCTTTTTTAAATTAAAAAAAACACACTAAACGTAATATTACTTGTTTTCATAATGGAAGTTTCGTTCTATTTCCGTTACAGGGTGTTTATACTGAACAACCAAGGAAATGCAAGTTCCAAGTTATTATTTTAGAAGTAACCATTCCATTATATCTGAATTAATTGTAAAATACTAAAATGTTGACAAGATGTCATGCAATATGACGTCCATTCCACACATTCACTCAAAAACCCTGCATTGTGCACGTGGGCCGTTTCGGTGTCCTACATTTAAATACTCAGACTGCCGCTTGTGCAAAGATGAATTACCCTTGAGATGTTGCAGGCTACAACTCTGCAACTGGCGTAGCCAGACAATTAGGACATCATCTCACCACTATCACAAGACTTGCACAACCAGCGCTGTTACCAGCGTTGCTGATCGACCACGTATGTCCGGCCCAGATTTACAAAACCTGCACAAGTATTCTTGATAAGGGTCAATCATCTCAGGAACAACACAAGCATCAACAAGAACAGCAGCTATAGTATCAGCAGACACGATTCCATTATGTCTACATGCTGCTCAACTCAACTGTCCGTAAAGGGGACTATGCATGACACAGCACCGTCGGCGACGTTTAAGGTGGACCTGGCGACATCAACGTTGGTGACGTGAACCAAGGCGGCCATACTGACTACTGAAGAGTCTGTAATTTTTCACTATAGAAGGTATCCCTTTTTATCCCCGGCATATAATGCGGGGGGATATAGCGATCAGCCAGTCGTCTGTCCGTCCGTCCGTCCGTCCGTCCGTCCGTAATCATTTCCTTTTCCGGGGCAGAACTCGAAAACAATTCAGAGTATTTGATCGAAACTTGGCATATCTATCAGTCACATACTGAAGTTGTGCCTTTTGCTACTTAGGAATTTTAGAAATGTTTATTTTTTACGTTTCCATGGTAACAAGTTGGACTTAGGTTCTATAAGGGTGGTGTTCGTTTCCGGAGCGTAACTCAAAAACCGTTAAATACTTTCTTACAAAACTTTGCATGTCTACCAGGCACATACTTAACTGGTGCCTTTTGCTATTTAGAATTATTATTTTTTTATGTTTCCATGGCAACCAATTGGACTTAGCTTCTTTAGGGTAGAGTTCGTTTCCGGAGCATAACTCAAAACCCATTCAAAACTTTCTAACAAAACTTTTCATGTCTATCAGACTCATAGTGAACTGGTTCCTTTTGCTATTTAGGAATTTTAGACATTTTTATTTTTTACGTTTACATGGCAACAAGTTGGACTTAGGTTCTATAAGGGTGGTGTTCGTTTCCGGAGCCTAACTCAAAAACGGTTAAATACTTTCTTACAAAACTTTGCATGTCTACCAGGCACATACTGAACGGGTGCCTTTTGCTATTTAGGAATTTTATAAAATTTTATTTTTTACGTTTCCATGGCAACTAGTTGGATTTAAGTTTTCATATAGGGTGGGTTCACTTATGGAGTATAACAAATAATCTATTAAATATTTCCTTGCCAAACATTGCATGTATATATATAAAGTACATACTGAACTGGTGCCATATTAAGGAGTTTTAGAAATGTTAATTTTAAAATTTCTATTGCAGCTATTTTGACATGGGCTAAGAGAAATGATGGGTCAGTTACCTGGTTTTGGACCATAACGTGTTAAAATGGGCGGGGGATATAAATGACTTCGTTGACTATACGCTTGTTTAGTTATTGTTTCTTGTAATTTGTCATTTGTTTGCATAAAAAAACCCACAGAAACACACGTTTTACTTTCCATTTCATATGGATGCGACCATGGTGGATCTTTTGTTGGTAAACAATGTATGCTTCTTAAAGAACATTCAACACATGACTCATTATACCCCCGTTTACGAAGTAAATCGGGGGTATATAGCGTTCCGTTCGTCCGTCCGCCCTTCCGTCCGAGCTTTTGTATGGCCCATAACATTTTAACCATGCACCCTAGCTTCACCAAACTTGCTACACACATTTACCACAATGAGTACTTGTGCCTTTTGCTAGTTTGAAGATTCTGAACTTTTAATTTTTGCCGTTTCCATGGAAACATTAAGAAACTTAAACTTTTAGGGTAGGTGTTTTGTACGGCCTATATCTTTTTAACAATGCACCCTAGCTTCACCAAACTTTCTACCCACATTAACCACAATGAGTACTTGCGCCTTTTGCTAGTTTGAAGATTCTGAATTTTTTAATTTTTGCCGTTTCCATGGAAACATTAGAAACTTAAACTTTTAGGGTGGGTGTTTTGTACGGCCTATATCTTTTTAACTATGCACCCTAGCTTCACCAAACTTTCTACACACATTAACCACAATGAGTACTTGTGCCTTTTGCTAGTTTGAAGATTCTGAATTTTTAGTTTTTGCCGTTTCCATGGAAACATTAGAAACTTAAACTTTTAGGGTGGGTGTTTTGTACGGCCTATATCTTTTTAACCATGCACCCTAGCTTCGCCAACCTTTCTACACACATTAACCACAATGAGTACTTGTGCCTTTTGCTAGTTTGAAGATTCTGAATTTTTTAATTTTTGCCGTTTCCATGGAAACATTAGGAACTTATACTTTTAGGGTGGGTGTTTTGTACGGCCTATATCTTTTTAACTATACACCCTAGGGGCAATTGTCACTGGAACTCAATCTTAGTTTTTAAAACATTGAAGTTAAAATCAGTTAGAAATATGTAATATTTCATTAATTAACAAACTATTTACTATTTGTTGTTGACCAGCGGGGATAACGGGGGAATGTGAGCTTCTCACTTCTTTCTTGTTACATACAGAATTGCACATTCACTTTGGTTACTTTACAGACAGCTGCCGGGGGGGTATGTCATCTTTCTGATGGCTCTTGTTGACGTACTGTGTTCCTTCGTAAACTTCTGTAACGCCAGTGTCACAACAACCTTCAGCTCTTAACCTGACTTGTTCCAAAAATTGAAAAAAATGTCAAACTAGAGTTTCTTTTTCCGTTCAGTATATGTTCAATACCCGGTGTTGATAAACTATACACCCAGCCACGTACATTCCTATTGACTGCATGGGTAGTCTGTAAGGGCGTCCTTGCTCAGTTTTGTGTTTCTTATCTCCAAGGGTTTCCCAGAGAGGAGAGGGCGGTCGCGGAAAGAAGAAATACAGAAGGGAAAAAAAGGTTCCTTAATGCAGAATACCTATTTAAGAGGGTCAAAACTTACAATGTGAGATGAAAAGGCTAATTACAATCTTAAGGCTTTGACTATCTAAACAAAAGTATTTGACAATTTAAACATGTCAGGTCGAACATTAACAGTGATGGAGTGAGTTGGGTTTAACGCCGCTTTTAACAGTATTCCAGTTATATCACTGCGTGTCAGCTTAATGTAGGAGGAAAGCCCGAAGTAATGCAGGTCTCAGGCGTGTACCACTTCGGTGAATCCCACGAGCACGGGTATGGTGCTGACAAACCTAGAAACATAATTCGAACCCACAATCATAGGTTTCTGGCGTGTCCAAGGGACGCAACTCTGCACATCTGCGGCGCCTTAGACGACTGGGCCACCCGTGCCCCCGAACATTAAGAGCAAGTTGAACCGGTTTCAAAATAATATACATTTTTGGGACAAATATATACTAAACCGCAAAAGAAACGTCACCCCAAGTAACATTGCATGAAAAGTTGTCATTTAAATATCTGGATAATTTTTGTCAAAGTTTCTAAAATTTAACATTACGTTGTGAAAATGAAATTTGATGATAAAAAAAACAAAGCAGATAACAATAAAATGGATCGCCTAAAAGCATCACGGCAACGGCCATGGAAACCCGATGCACGTGAGTTCCGTGCAAATTGAAATGCACATGCGTTCCCCCATTTTTTGCCCTATAAAAATCCACCAAGATCGGATAACATTCATTCGTTATTGAATTGCTACCACATGCCAAGATTGACAAGAAATCAGCGACACCAAGCCCTTGGACGATTGCAAGCTGGACAAACCGCCCGGCAAGTAGCCAATGCATTTCAAGTCCACGTAAGGGCTATATACAGGCTCCAGCAACGGTACCAGACTACCAACACTACAGATGACCGACCACGTAGTGGAAGACCAAGGGTCGCCACCCGACGTCAGGATCGTCAGATTGTGCGACATCATCTTCAAGATTGCTTTGTTACTGCTGTGGAAACTGCTCGACAGACCATGCGACACCAGCGATACATGAGTCCGGACACCTCCACTGTCACAGGCCACACCGAGGACTCATTCTGACACCACGTCATCGCCGGGACACAGCACCAGCAGTGGAGAAGAGTCCTCTTCTCAGACGAGAGCCGTTACTGTATCTCAACAGCAGATTGCAGAGGGTCTGTCGACGCCGTGGGGAACGTTATTCGGATGCCTGTGTTGTTGAGAGACTCGTGGGGTGGTCCGAGCATCATGGTGTCGGGTGGAATTGGTCTTGCACAGAGAGTCGGCCCTGTGGTCTTCCAGACCATCGTTCCAGGGAGAGGCAATGGTGTCAAAGCAGATCGGTACATTGATCAAGTCTTGAGACCACACGAGAGCAACCACGAGTTTCAGCATGATGACGCCCGTGCCCAAACTGCGAGAGCAACAAGAGACTTCCTTCAGCAGAATGGCATCAGAACCAGTCCCGATTTAAATCCCACTGAGCGAGATTCAAAGACGGCTGAATGACGTTAGACCAAGGCTGACAACTGCAGCTGAACTGTGTCAGGCATTCCTCAGCGTGTGGGCCCAAGTGCCTATGGCCTTCATCAACCGCCTTATCCATTCCATGTATCGACGTTGCACGGCAGTCATCAATGCACATGGCGGACACACGAGATACTGACGTGTGATGC